ATGTATTATTTTACCTCTGCAACTCGAATTTAAAGTAGCCAGACCTCTACAAAGTCGAACTTCTATTGTCGCCTCTCACAATTTGAAGTTGTAGCGATGTGTAACCATGAGTAATAGCCTGGTATTTTGTTTTATGATTACATTTATTATATGCGATATACATATAATTCAATGTCAAATATTGATTTTTTTCCCCTTTAAACGCCACTATAATCGGAAAATTATAAACTCTCGTACAAAGGATCTGTAAATCGAATTTTCATACGTCGACCCTCTTTCACTCGAATTTCGATAAGTCAAAAATTTTATAACTCGAAGGGTTTTTCTCTTCCCTTGAGATTCGAGTTATCGAGGTTCGACTGTATCTCGATGTCTACACACGTGTATATATATAGACGGTGAATTCGTATAAACGCGAATCCCGAGTCAGCCTGCAGCACGATACCGCGTGAAGTCTGCAATTACGGAAATTAATGCCTCCCGAAAATAAGTAATTCGAGAAAGTCGACCGTTTTTAGTATTTTTGAACATAGATAGATCTCGACTCGTATATATACGCATAATTACAGATAGCTCGACGCGGCGTTACATAGCGGCGATCATAAATTCTCGGCGCCACTGACGATATCGTCCCTTGGAGATTAAAGTAACAGGCCTCTTCCCCGGCCGTCGATATTTCCGACAAAAAGTCAAATAATAAAACTATCTTAATCACTTTTACGCGTCACGGTGTTATACATTGAGCGTTTTTTAGCGCTAAGAAAAATAAATACTTCTGTCATTACATCGATATGAATTTCATAGAGTACGACGAATTTCGCGGTGGATGATTAATATGTTGCTGTTTGCAACAAAAAAAAGAAAAAAAAATATACGATCGTTGTGACTCGATGTGATGAAAAAGTTGGCGCGTTTTGTTATGGCTGGTGCTTGGCGTAGCGAAAATCTCATCACTTAGGGCTTAATAACCAGAACACGCAGACTCCGCGGGCGTATATATAGCTATATATACGCTACGCGCTCATTTATTTCCGCGTCTTTTGCCGCGATAGTTTTCCCTCTTTTTGTCGCGCGTCGCGCTTTTTCTTCCCTTGCTCTTCGAGCGCGAAAGACCGTGAGCGCGAAAAAGAGAGAGGAACGTCCGGGCGGACCGGGCGGCCGGCCGGGTCGAGCCCGCTAAAAAACGCCAGTGCGGGCCACGATGACTTTCGGAATCATTTTTCAAAATGTCTGCCTCTGCCTCGAGGGGGGTGACCCCGACGGGCGGCGGCGGCGAAGGGGCGAGGGGGGCGGAGGGTGGCAGCAGGGTGGTCAACCCCCGTGGCGTAGGGTGGCAAGATGGCGCCGCCACGGTAAATCGATGGAGGCTAGTCACTGCAGGCGCCCTCGCTTTCACAGCTCCAACTCTCTCCCCCCCGCCCCTCCCCCGTTCTCCCCCGTTCGCCCCCAGACCACCACCCACTTTGCTTCTCCCCGTCGTCCCCCTCATTTTCGAGCTTCACGCAAGCGCCCGCACCCGTGGACGTCGAGTCTTCGGTCATCTAAGCATAATTTTGCACGGCTCCGGCATAGTAACCCGCGCCTTGCCGCAGAAAAATGTGCAAAACTCCCCTCCCCCCTTTTTTTTCATTCTTTTTCGTGTACAAAAAAAAAATCAATTCCCGAGAGAACTCCAAAATAGAAGAAGTGAACGATCAATCTTTCCCGCTTCATTTTTTCCCCCTAATTTTTTTTTTTTTAGAAAAATGTCGAGCGAAATGTACGAGCGTGTCAGAGCTGCACGCATTCAAAATGAGCGTATAAAAATTATAAATGACATTTATTAATCGCCAATTTGCCGTTAATTATACGTTTAGAGCGCGGTCTGCAAATAACGCACGACAGGCGAAAGTAAACGGCAGTTTACGGGAGAGGGGGACGAAGGGGAGTTGGGGAGGGCGGGAATGTAAGCCGATCGCATCCCGATTTTTCCGATAAACCCATCTCATTTTAATATTCAACACCTGTAAACGCATCGGAACAAAAGCGATAGCCGCTGTGCAGCAGAAAAGTATTTGTATCGGATGCATTCCGCCGAGCGCGCTCTGTGTACAATAAAAATTTCAAGCGGGTCGTTAAAACTGGTTTTAACGCGCCGCGCGCTGTGTGTGCGCGGGGCGAACCTGTTTGATTCTGTCTGAGAAATGTAACCGCCGAGGGCGAGAACCCGCGCCGCGGCTTTTAAAAAGAACACACGCCACAACAGGTTTCCGTCTCTTAATCCTTCCGCGCTCGCTTAACAGTCTCTCTCTCTTTCTCTCTCTCGCGTCAATGTGCAAATGAAAATTTTCATAGACACGTTAACGTGTCGCCTTTACCCCCGCTTCCCCCTCTCCGCCTGTACCCCGGCTAATGCCGCGCGAAATTTTCATAAGCGCGCTAATTTCATTATACTAATTGGAATATTTTAAAATTTACGTAAACGCGACGGGGGACCGCGCCGTAGGACTCAATTACGAATAAAAACCGGCGAGCGCGGGGAGAATTAAATGTCTCGGTGGGAAAACACGCGCGTTTAGGAGGTCGTATTTTCCTAGTCGCTCACGTAAGTCATTTCTCGCCGACGTCGCTTCTTCCAGCCCCGCCTGATGGCCGAGTGGGGTATCTCGCGTGCGTATATAGAACGTGAAACACCGGCCGACCAGATCGACCGATATTGTCCGTTATCGCGAACTTCTCGCTGAAACGCTTGACATTGGATATACTTGTCAACAATGCCCATTTGAGATTTATGCACGTGTCGCAAAATGTGTTTCGAAACGTCATACATATAAGCGTCAATATAGCGCGGCAAATGCGAGCCGATTCGCATTCGCCGTTCTGACGTAACAAATCAACGTGGATGAGAAAAAAAGACTATCATTATCCTATTGATATTTCTTCTTTTTTTTTGTGACATTCCTAATTCGCGTTTTTAAAACAATTCAACAGTCCATTTGTATTCATCTTCTTTTTTCATCTACATATCAATCAATCTCCTAACGTTTATTAGATGAGATTGAGTGTATGCTAAGAATAGGGAAGATATTACATTTTTTTTTCTAAAATTTGATCTGCGTTTCTCGTTGCACCGCGACATTAAGATGCATAATACTTTTCTTTTCTTTACGTTTATCCGCCTTCTCGTATTATCGCGCAAACATAACGTTTCAATCTGTATATCGCATGGAATTTCAAGGCAAGCGTTTAAAAATCAAATATATATGGATAATTAACGCTTATCGATGTTTTATAAGAATGATTGATAATGCGGATAACGCAATTGATATACAAATAATTGATTGTCCAAAATGAGGTTACAATCAAAGCGTGAATTGCATAAAAACTCTATTTACTTGATAGCTTAATTATATCATTAACCCGATATCAACTCGATGTAATTAATATAATAATAGAGAATAATAATATCCTTAAAATATTAAACTCTTTCAAGGGATATTGGAATGTGAGCCGGAATACGAGCCGGCCAATCGTTTTATATTTAAATTACATGATTTATCGAATTGTTACGCTGTGTGTATTAATTTGCATTTTCGTATTTCTAGCGTTTTGTGTACCGATTCTTCTGCGCGATAGAATATCCATTAATATTTCTCTGTTACACGTGACACTCCTCTGCGAGGCTTTTAATTCTTGATCTTAACAAAAAATCCTTGTCAAGTCAATAACATCCGTTGATTAAGCGTATCGAATAATCCCAGCGAGGACAGAGGAAATTGATTTGCGGCGGGAAAAAAAGTGCCAAATCTTCAACATCTCAATAGAATTGGACGGCACGTGGATCGGATAATTAATGATGAAAAAAATAAATGGCATCTTATCGATATTATATTATACATATATCTGATATATCGATCTTGCATTAAAGATTTACTGATAGATATTCTTTTATTTTATAATATATCGTTTTCTGCTAATTCTTTTTAGAACCTTTTGAAATTTATTGTGTCTAATCACTCGATATGGGTTTGCTCGCAAAACAAGTGTATTCCTTCTAAAAAGCTTTTAAAATCTTAAATAAAATTATCTTATCTTTCTAATCGCAGTAGAATTTAGAATTGCATTATTTATATGATATGGTATAATTTTATATTTCATTCTTATTATTTGTCGTTGATGCGTTAAAATAGTTTATTAAAAAATTAGTATTAAATAAAATAAGAAAATATAGTATGAAAAAGTTAACAAAATAAGTATTATTAAATCATTTAATTAATCTCTAAAGATTAAAAACGCAAATATTTTTTATAAAACTTACAAAATTTTAGATTTTGGTAAATTTACGTGTAAATATCGATGTAAATGTGTTGCAACGTGAACAAAACATCTCAAATATTATCGAATAATTAATTGCAATAAAACAGCAAAAGAAAATATAATTTATAACAATGCAATAGTATAAAGCTCAATAATTAACAAATAAAAATTAGTATTAAATAAAACAAGAAAATATAGTATAATAAATAATAAATAATAAATAAAGTTAACAAAATGTTATTAAATCATTCAATTAATCTCTAAAGATTAAAAACGCAAATTTTTTTTATAAAACTTACAACATTTTAGATTTTGGTAAATTTACATGTAAATATCGATGTCAATGTGTTGACACGTGAACAGAACATTTCAAATATTAAAATAAAGGGCTGAAAGCCTAAGCAGGACGTTTTATCCAACTATAATTATAGCAATGCTTAGTCAAATATAATAATAACAAACATTTTGATCTCTATCAGGTCACTATCAATGTTAGACAAATAACAATTAAACGAAGTACATAAAATATAAGATTAAAGCAAATAAATACAAATTTCAATAAATATAAATGTACAAATTGCTTTTGTCCATAATGATCTGATTATATTCGATTAAAATTTATCTTATCGTTAAAATTGAACATAAGTATTCTGATGGAAATCAGACGCTTTATAAGCGGCTGAACGTGTGGCATTAACAGCAGAATAATGTTAAACATGGAGATACATGTTTTAATTGGTGTCTTGCTCGCCTGCACCGCGGCTGGTAAAAATATTTGTGTTTATCTGTTAAAAAAAGACGAATTTATTGGATCATTAACTTTTTAAGATTCGAACAGAAAGATAATCGTTACAATAATAATATTTTATTTCATTGAACATATTTCTCTTATATAGATTTTTTTAAATTTTTTGGTTTGTATTATGCGATGTACGAGTATACTGTATCCTTGCGCAGGGCTTCCAACGAAAGAGGAAGCGTTGCTTCCTGACGATACTTTTACTTCACTGGACGACACGTTATTTGGGGATGAAGTAGCGTACGTGTACGACGACAACAAGAACCTGGTGCGGCTGAAATTGAACGGCGACGACGGCGAGTATATCTTGGATATCCCGGAGAACGAGATCCCAAATCGTGTCTCCTTCTATCTGTTCACAAAAGACAACCCTACCAATCCGAGGCTGCTCTACGTCAACGACGAGGACGCTTTAAGAGGCAGCAAGTTCGATCCTGCGAAACCTACGCGTATTGTAACTCACGGATGGATAAATTCTCGCAACAGCGACGCGTGCACTTTAATTCGCGACGGTATGTAAAAACATTTGCTACACGTAATGTAATGAAATATCGTATAAGGCATTTCGTGAATTAAGAGAAAGTAACAGCAGTACGAAATATAGAAGGTTAATCTCTTTCTATATACAGATAAAATTCGATCGATGTTCCTCAAGACGGTGCAGGGCTTACTTTTTCTCTCTGCGCCTCAGATTATCGCGCTGACGTGTCCGTCTCGCTTCTTATGTTGCAGCCTTCCTTCGGCACGGTGATTACAACGTCATCGTATTCGACTGGAGTTCAATAAGTATCGGGGAGTATTTCTGGGCTAAAGGGCATGTCGTGAAAGTCGCTCGATTCGTCGCCACTATGATCAATTTCCTCGTCAAGCACGGAATGGATCCGTCGCAGACCATACTGGTCGGTCACTCTCTTGGTGCCCATGTAGTTGGAATCGCCGCTCGCACCGCTGACAGCGATATCGGTTACATCGTAGGTGAGTTTTCAACATTTTACGTTTAACGGCGTTTATATTCGGTTATAAGAAAAACATTCGACGCCGCATACAAAGATACAAATATTGTATCTTGTATGCCTAATATTCTGCGATTGGTTTATTAAATTTTTGCACGTGAATAAATAAGAAGCCACCCTTTTTGAGCGTCATTCAGTCTCGCGAATCACTACAGATTATATATAAACGATTAATAGAATTTTACTTCTCCCTTCTGTTTATGTAGAGAAATGTGATAGTATATATTTTCAATATTAGTGCGTCATTTCGCAATCGCGACTCTTTCAGATTTATCAAATTTTTGAGACGGTCACATTTCTTACGCTCGATACGCATTAGGCGTCCAATATGCCTATGTCATTTCACGAAAAGTTTTACGATTTGCTGTTTCATAATTTGTCGATCGAACGTTATCGTCGTTTGTGCTCGTTTCATTTATCGAGTATAAAAAGTCGATTAAATCGACTGGTCAATTAATTGTAAATCATTTCACTGGCACGGCGCGGGATTTATCGTTTCCAGGACTGGATCCAGCATTGCCCGGCTTCGCTCTGGCCGGCTCGGGAGCCAGGATATCGAGCGGCGACGCGAAGTACGTGGAGATCATTCACACCAACGGCGGTCTGCTCGGCTTCTTGGTCGCCATCGGGGACGTTGATTATTATCCCAACGGCGGTAAAAAGCAGATCGGCTGTCTGGTGGATCCCGGCGGCGCGTGTTCCCACGCCCGCTCGTACAAGTTCTACGCCGAGTCTCTCAACAGTCAGGTGGGGTTTCACGGGAGACATTGCAGTAGCTACGGCCGATTTAAGTTGGGCCTGTGCAACAACGAGCGCACATCCATCATGGGCGGTAACAAGCCGCTGTTCAGCGCAAACGGCAACTTCTACCTGACGACCAAATGGTCGTCCCCGTTCGCGAACGGGCTGTTCGGGACGCGACACTGATGAGCGCCGCGCCGCGCCGATCTGGAAGGATCGGCCCGACTACCGGACGATCAGCCGTCAGCGAGGGCTTCTGGATTTTGGAAATTCATTGCAGGAACAGGAAGGAGAGATCCCCCGCGCCGGGCTAAACTCGTTTTTCCCGGCAATCGATCGGACGCGTTCACGGTGCGTAATTTCGTTTCCGCCCGCAGCGGCTGTTTCGCAGCGCGCGCGCGAGTGTTGTGTATGTGTGTGTGTACGTGTGTTGCAGGCCGCTCCGCTACGCGGGGCATTTTTATACCGCGGTCTAAGCCAGGGAGACTGCGATTATCCCGGGGTCGGGCTACCGGGAAATCGCGGATGCTGTTTATCGAAGGAACAGAATGAGGCAGCGCGACGTACACCATACGCTTCGTTTTACCGTCGACCCAATTTATCGCGGCATAAGCGTACGTATTTTGCGAAATACGACGTATCGCGCGACGTAAAGCGCATCATAACGTTTTATTGGAAATGCAAAATACCGAGGAGGATACGCCCGGTACGCTTTCTAAATGCGAGTCAAGTCGCGTTAAATACACAATATCAATTTCTCCGCCGTTGTCCATTTTTTCTCTCTCTCTTTTCCTCTCTGTCTCGCAATGACTCGCGACGCTTCTCGTATACACGCGCGTGCAAACATCCGCCGAGACACGACGGCCTCTCTCGAAACGAAACGAATTGCTCGGACCATGTCCGCGGTCTTAGTCGCGGTGCATTAAATTTTTATCGTAATATATCTCGCGTATATGTATCGCGCATATAGCAACAAAGATAATAAAGGCGATGCGGAAAACAGTCGGATTTAAACCGCGCGCGTTGAATTTTAGGCCCCGGGCACTGTTTCGTATGTAAGCAAACGTAGATATTTATCATTTTGTAATGCACGAGATGAAGTTTCGAGAAAGAAGGTAAACGGTGATTTCGCAAAATATAAGGGAGACCGTCGTGCTCGAAACGAAAGAGTTGTCTTTCGTCAGTTTTTCGCGTGGATGCGAACGATGTTGATAATTGTTAAGGACGGCTGATCGTTATTACGTCGTGAAAAGTGTGTTAAGTATTCCGCGTTCCGGATCTACGACGCTCGATTGGGAAAATGTCTTCTTGAGCAATGAAATGTGATAAAATTTACACCTGTTTTACAACAGAGCACTGATGTACAAATACCATTATAATATTTTTAGCAAAGAATCAAGTGTGTATTTCTTTTTTATTAGCCTAAATCCCAACCCATATGCAGCCAGATTATCTTTAAGCCGGTGTCTACAATAAGACTTAAGACTTAAGATTTACGAACACTGACCGATCACTATCGATTATTCTTTTCACGTGAGATAAATAATCGACTATGATTGGTCAATTTTCTAAAATCTTAAGTCTTAAGTCTCATTGTAAACACCGCTTTAGCCATAATGTGATACAATCACGACGCTATCTAAAAATATTTTACAGCCGAAACTCGAATCTCAAGGAAACAGAAAAAAAAACACTTCAAATTATAGAGTTTTCGACTTATCGAAAATCGAGTGAAAGAGGGTTAACATATATAAAAATTCGACTTACGGTGGCTTATTGTAAATACAAGAGTTTATAATTTTTCCGATTATAATGGCTTTTGGAGAGAAAAAATCACTATTTGACAGTGAATTATTTATTGCATACATATAATAAATGTAATCATAAAACAAAATACCAGGCTATTACTTATAGTTACACATACACGCAGAAAAAGAATTAGCCAATGAAGCTAAAATATAGCTATGGCAGCTAAGATGTGTCGTTGAAATAAGGACTGCTAATGTTGTTGCTGCCGAAGTTTAATTTATTAATTATTAAAATGTAGGTGCTACAGCAAAAAATATTTGCTGCTACAATCAAATGATATTTAGCCGAATCTAATATGCTATTTTATCTTCGTAATAGGGTTATAATATTTGCAGTATATAGCTTATATACTGCAAAATATAAATGTTAAATGTGTTGTAGATGTGCATATGACAGTGCCACATTGCAAAAACAATTATATTGCAAATCAAATTTTTGCGCGTAGCTATAAACTTAGCTTTGTGTGCTAAATGATAAGACATTTAGGCACGCATGCCATCTTTTTAGCTGCCTGTACTAATATATGCTTTTAATTTCAGTTAATAAATTTTTTGTCACAGTGAATGTTTTTTATCTGTAATAGCCAGAACTTAGCAATGACACTAAGGCGGTAGCTCTTATAGCTAAGTTTGATACGGAAAGAACAATTTTGCTGAATCCAGTTCTGAAAATAATTTGTGTTCAATAATCAAAATAATTTTGTGCGAAAGTCAAAATGATTGCTAAAATATCAAAACGTTTTATAGCAATGCTTATCAGTTTCAACATTCCAATAAATTATTTTGATAATTCAACAAAAAATTATTTTCAGATCTGTTTTTAACAAAATTTTTAAACCTTTTAACAAAATCGTTCTTTCCGTGTACACATATCGTCGAAGCAGGATCTTTCCACGAATCGTTTCGATTAATTGACCGTTTATTGTATATCGATACCAAAGACATTTTATGTTAAAGGAAATTGATTTTTGTTATAATCACTGTAATTGTTTTAAATAAAATGGATTTTACTGTTTATACACGGAAAAAACGATTTTGCTGGAAGGTCTAAAAATTTTGCTAAACACAGATCTGAAAATAATTCTTGTTGAATCATCAAAATAATTTGGTTGGAAAGTGAAAAATGATAAGCATCTTTAACTTTCCAACAAAATTATTTTGACAATCAGTTTGACTTTCTAACAAAATTATTTTTTGATTGTACAACAAAAATTATTTTCAAATCTGAATCCAGCAAAATCGTTCTTTCCGTGATAATCTTGATTACGATAAGTGTTGATCCATATATGACAGGTGGTGTATCTAGCTTATCTAGTTATCTTAATTTTAAAGAGGCCAGGTATATCTGTCCGTATATCTGCACAGGGCAAAATTGATATCCAGCGCGAATGCATCGATTCCATCGCTACTCTCATCCACCTACTTTATACCCTCACTATCACAGAGACGACCGTGATCGACGTACTCGACCGGCGTCGACGTGTCTCGATACTTGGGAGTATTCCGTAGACGAGCAATGCACGTTGCCGTCGGCAGAGGTGCGCACGTTTCTCACGCCGCCTCCTTTTAATTTCTCCCCCTATAGCATTCGTATATTCCGTCACTAGAAATTTAACCCTTTATAATTCAAAATGAATTGAATAACGTGTGCAACAGCTATGCTATTTAGCTGTTAGCTATAGATAACACCGGGCATCAAAATTCGTAACAAGGCAGAAATGTCGCGAGTTTATTCTAATATCTGCAGCGGAGCGCGATTACATTACTCGGACATGAAATATGATTGGATTCTACTCTTTGATTTGATTCTCTCTCTCGGCAGATGTATTTTTTTAGATAGTCAAAAATGAGTTCCTCTTTTTTAAAAACGTAATTTGATTTTTACAACTTTTTTCTAACTTTTTAATGTTCAACAGAAAATGTATTTAGATAACTGTGTCTCAAATTAAATCTCCATTTAAACAAAGTTTGCTTTGTGAGTTAAACAAAAAAAAATGTGACTCCGTTATTCACTTTCATCTTTATGTGACAGCCTCTTATTTTCAAGTCGAACCTCGATAACTCGAAAACCGACTCGAGAAAAACTTCGAATTTTTTTACTTTAAAACCCATCATAAATTATAAACTCTCGTACAAAGCTTTCGTAATTTTCATATGTTAATTCTCTTTTACTCGGACTTCAATAAGGCGAAACCTTTATGACTCGAAGATTTTTACAGCTGTTCCCTTGAGATTCGAGTTATCAATTGGTTCGACTGTTTGTAACTCAAAAACTTACGCGATACTCTTGTTAAGGAAAAAAAATCAAATCGAAGAGTGTGAATCCGCGAACGTCTATTTTTTTTTCAAAATCATCATACATATTAACGATTCGCAACGACTACACGGAAAGAACGATTTTGCTGGAAGACCAAAAAAAAATCTGAAAATAATTTTTGTTAGGTCATCATCAAAATAATTTTGTTCGAAAGTCAAACTAATTGCTAAAATATCAAAACGTTTTATAGCAATGCTTATCAGTTTCAACATTCCAACAAATTATTTTAATGATTCAACAAAAAATTATTTTCAGATCTGTTTTTAGCAATATTTTTAGACCTTTCAACAAAATCATTCTTTCCGTGATATTGAAATTTACCTACTATTACTAATTGTAAGTCATTTTTTTTTGCGTGTAGCTACAATTTCGAATTATAGAGGCAGCGATAATAGAAGTTCGACTTACAGAGATGAATTTCGACTTGTAGACGTCTGGCTACTTTAAATTCGAGTTGCAGAGGTAAAATAATACATTTAAATATCGGACAAATGAGTCGAGTTAGGATAAGCTTTATTTCAATTTATAGAGGTTTTTCGCAATGGAGCGGAAGGGAATGAACAAAATTTTTGTCTTACAGAGGTTTTCGAGTTATATAGAAGTTTGAGTTATCGAGGTTCGACTGTAATAACATTTCTCAATCATTTTTTTTATACACCGACTAAAAAGTATCTGAAGCGAATAAACTGTTCTGTAAGTGTTGGAAAAACATATACTGTATACTGAAATAGTTTGTCTACGCAAAAAATAGAAAAAGTATTTATGTCATCGGAATCACAAAAGATATGCCGTTAATATGCTACAATACATGTTAAAAGTATTGCCGGGGAAGCGCGTGTTCAAAGAGTGTATTGATAAATTTTTAAAACGTTACACCGCGGATTTGCAATCGGTATAAAATATTCAGTCCGAAGTGATTGATTCTCCCGGCGCTAAATCGCGATATCTGTACATATATATATACAAGTTCGATAAGGCGCCGAATATGTTTCCATTGCGGATATACACATGCCGCTCGGGGAGTATCAATTGTTCGCACTCGCAATTGAAGTATCCGCGATAAAAGTTGGCGAAGCCGGGGCCGGTGTTTCATTAACGCGTGAACAATGGGCTCGCCAGATGCAAGCCGGCCACCTGAGTATGAATACCACCTGACGTGAATAAGGGTCCCGGAGTAGGTGGACCGAAAAAATCCTGTTCCAGGACGTCCCAAACAGGAATACACATCCTTCACCGAATCGGAAAGGCATTCCTCCCGGGTCGCGTTAATCCGTTACGATTAACGGGGAGCACATTAATCATCAAGTGTCATCGTAGAACGACGTAATAATGTGTATCATCTTTTACTACAAACCACAATCTTATCTCATACATTAATATTATTACGTTCCTACTGATGCGATTTCTCACGTGCTGATATATTTCTGCCTGATAAGATTAAATAATATTAGACGATTATCTTAGCGATAGATTAACGTTGCAAATTTCGCTACCGATCGGGAGTGTAAAAAGTCAGAAGTATTATATGATGCACGCAACTGTCGTATTTAAATAATTTATCATCAAACGTTATTTTATTTTGAATGAACTCACCCTGCTCCGCGCGGCATTTGTGTCTAGAGATTTCTCCTATTTATTTATTTTTCCGTTATTATTACAATCTTATCTCATACATTATATTACATTCCCACTGGTGCGATTTCTCACGTGCTGATATATTTCTGTCTGATAAGATTAAATAATATTAGACGATTATCTTAACAGTAGATTAATATTGCAAATTTCGCTACTGATCAGGAGTGTAAAAAGTCAGAAGTATTATATAATGTACGCAACTGTTATTTAATGTATTTAAATAATTCAAACATTATTCTATTTTGCATAAACTCATTCTGCTCCGCGCGGCACTTGTGTCTAGAGATTTCTTCTATTTATTTATTAATTAATTGTTTTCGTAATAACGAGGAAAAAAACCGTGAAATTACTTATCCATTTTTCATTTCGACGTAAAAAGAAGCGCGTTTCAACGCTCGAAAGTGTAAATTCTTTTCAGATGAAATATTCAGAGTCCCGAAGATCCAAATACAATTCACGCGGAGGACGTTATTTAATTGTAACGGTAATAATTCTTTTCTTGTCTGACGCGCCCTGTCCGGGGTGTGTAGGTCAAGATTAAAACCCAAAATTGACGTCGGGGGAAAAATTAAAGTTGTAAAGTTTCTGGTATCTATCAACGCGAGACGGGTCCATACATCAGCACACGT